CTGTAAGTTGTAAATTTGTATTGTGAGCTGTGTTTATTTGTACCATCTGTGATGCAATAACTGGAAAGGGAGCTGAACACATTGATGTTTATTAAAAGGTTAATAAAGCAGGAAATAGTATTAATTTTAGTTTATTTCCTTTATTAGGAATTATATTTCTATATTTTTAAAATTAATTTATAGACATGCTTTATGGAAGCTTAAATATTGCTTTGAAAGAAAGCTCAGTAACTTATTTTGTTAGTTTACTGCTACTCTTATAAGCTTATCCTTCATATTGTAATAACATATTGTGGTAACCCTGTTTTGCTTTTCAAGTTTATTTTTCACTTATGCTTACCTTATGTCACTGTGGAAATATGACGTAAGAAAATAAATTATTTTGTTTTCTTAAATGAGGTGAATCACTTACTATTATGCTATGGTTGTGCTTTCGAGCAACGGACTTTGTTACAAGAAGGTAAATGTTTCTCAGTAGATTGATTCATTTGACATGGAAAGCTGTAAGCATGGATAAGCTATTCCAAGCCTACCTCTCTTCTTCCAGCCAAGCACAAAAGTATTTTTACTGCATTCACCACAGTAACAACACCTTGATAAAGTTGCACTGAGTTACAAAAACGGCAGGCAGCAATGGATTTTTGCTTTATTGTTGCTAATTACTATATTGAACTTCCTCATTTCCCTGCAATATAGAATTTGTTAAAATAAGACCGTAAATTAATTTAAGATATTAAAAAAAATAATCTCATATACATGATAATTTGTTTTTAAGTTCTATTAGCAAGTCTCTTTTCGAATCTGACAATAGCCTTTATAAGCATTTAATTGAATTTCATGAAAGTGAAATCTTGGATAATGAAAGTGAAGTCTTGGATAATGAAAGCCTTGAACAAATTATCTGAACAAAAATGGCTTAGTGATGAATAGTGCCTCTAGTTTCGGCAGTGTATGATTTTCAAAGGTATTTTGGAGTAACTTGGGCCACATAATTAACACTCTAAAGCAAGAAACTTACAGGATAATAATTTTGCCTGGAGGAAATTACGGACAGATTGGGTTGCAAGCAGAGACTTTGAGCATTCTGACAGTTTAAAGGCATTTTCTGATATCTGTGGTATTGTGTCTATATGAAGAACGATGAGCTAGGAAGTTAAGAATGAAGATATGAAGAAGTTAGAGGATTGTCAGACTGAGTTCAATGTTAAAGGACTATACAACTTTAGAAGAAGTAACATAAGGCAATTTTTGAAGAAGCACCTTTAGAAAAAAAGGGAAAAAAGGAAAAGTGATCCTAGTTCTTTGATCAGCAAAATTTGTGAAAAATATAGGATAAGATGCGAGGTTTTTCATGTAAAGATTTCACCCTCGTGAAGCAATAAAGCTGCAAAGCAAAAGCATTTTGAGTTCCAATGCCATGTCTTACTTTAGGAACATTTTAAAATATAGGCAACAACAAATCACGTTGAGCAGATTTTGAGTGAGTCCAGTGAGTCACAAGCAGAGTTGAGTAGCACATAGAAACAAAGAAAAGAGAGAAAAAAGAAGAAAAATTAAACATATTAAAAAAAATCTGAAACCTGTATTCCAGTCAAAAGGGCGTCTTTGTAATGCTTTGTGTATTACCATTCTTGATTAAATATCACGTTCTTCGCACTTAAAAATTCAATTCAACAGCAATATCACAAAATATTTAAAAACAGCAAAACATCCTATAATTAAGACACAATAACACACCGAATAAATACTAATTCAGAAGACAAACAATAAAAATCAGCGTTATATTTACAAAATTTCCACAGGACTAGTTTCAATGGTTTTACCGAACCACCATCCTCAGCTGCAAAACCGCAAATGAACAAGATAGGAAAAAATGATAAGATAAGAAAGCCTGGACAAGAATAAGCAAGTGGCGCCATCTGTTGGTGAAACCAGAACTAAAACATAATTTCTTTAAAGGTCAAAGGCAAATTTGGATTGGAATTAGGATCGTTAACTAGAACAGAAAGATTTTTATGAATGTAAAATGCCTCTAGAAAATCCAGTTTTCCAATGGAAGATGTTTTTTGAATAATTTTGACAGCAGAAAAATTGAAAGTGTGATTTTCGGACCAACAATGTTGCGCAACAGAAGACTTCTGTGTTTCCTTTTTTCTAACATATGCCTCATGTTCCTTGATGCGAAATTTTAAGGCTCTCTTAGTTTGGCCAATGTAAATTAAACCACACTGGCAAGGAATCCTATAAATACCCCAGGAATTCATATCCGGAATGGGGTCCTTGGGTATGGAACTCGGAATTTTATTGATGGGAGAATAAACAATCCGAAAGTTAAATTTCTGCAAAATATGTGCAACTTTATAGCTAAATGATGGAAAGAAGGGAATGACAACAGAATTTTTATAATCTCCTAAAACAAGAGTGTGCCTTTTAGTGTGTTGTGATGAGAATTTTTAACTGCTTGATTAATAATGTTGGGTGAAAAGCCCCTGTCAATAGCTATTGCTTTTAAATAATTTAGTTCTTCATCAAGGGCTAGTTTGGAGGAGCAAACTTGAAGAGCACGGAAAAAATAGGAATAAAATGAAGCTAACTTTTGTTTAGTCGGATGACATGATTTAAAGTGTGTTGGAAGGCAAACCGATGAAGGTTTACGGTAAACTGTAGTACTGAAGTTGGATGTGTTACATGTGACCAGAATGTCGAGAAACGGAAGAGAATTGCAAGTCTCAAGTTCAAAAGTGAACTGAATAGCAGGATCAATAGAATTCATTGTTGAAAGAACTTTATTTAAATCATCTTTATTACCTTCAAACAGGGTAAAAGTATCGTCTACGTAGCGGAACCATGTCGGGAAGTTTAAAGTTTCAAACAATTTTGATTCATAATAATGCATGTAGATATCAGCCAGGATGGGACTGAGGGGGCTTCCCATGGCTAATCCCTCAGTTTGCTTGTAATATTTATTTTGGAAAACAAAATGTGTTTGTTTCAAACAGAGTTGAGTGAGAGAAATTTAGCTCATCAATTTCGATGCAAGAGAAATGAAATTCGCGAAAGTCTGGTTTCTAGACATCTTAATGCCACCCTCCACCAGGACATTGGTGAATAATGATTTTACATCAAAAAAGAAACCATGAGTAAATTACTAGGAGAAATGTTTTTAACCTTTTTTACAAACTCTATTGAATTTTTTATGGTGTGTTAAATGTTATTGTCTAAGAGAGTGGAAAATCTAGAAACCAAATATTTAGCTAATGGATACGAAGCAGTACCTAATTTTGATACAATAGGACGGAAAGGAATACCACTTTTATGAATTTTGGGAAGAGCATATAATCTGGCACAATTCGCAACAGATGGGATAAGCGAATGTTTTAAGTTGCTTGAAATGATTTGCGAAGATTTGATCGCAGTTTTTATTTTTGACAAGTCGGAAGGTGATGGATCTTTAGGGATCGTATTATATGGTCCTTCGTTTAAGAGTTTAGTGTCCTTCCCAAAATTCCTAGGTACTGTTGTTTCTTCACAATGCAAGAAAAGTTAATGCATTCATGCAGATTCTTCATTATTTAGTTTCTTTAAATATAATATATGGCGATAATATTTGGTGGCAACAGTTTGAAAAGTGAATCAACGCAAAATGCCGTTTAGAAATTAATAGCCCTCCTGGGCTAACAATGCCTCCTAAAGAGGGTAATTGAATGTTATGAAAGGGAATTTTTCAATCAACCTACTATATCTTTCTCATTATTTTCCTCTAATGCTGTCTCTCTTCATTGTACAATGAAATGAAATCAAATAAAATGTGAGTCTATTTTATATGTGCAATGTTGTGTTTTATCTCTTTCACTTTATATGTTGTAATCGTTTATGTTGGTTTTTGAGTTGTAAGCAAAGTACTGTTGTAAAGTTTGAATTAGCAATCATCTGTGGCTCAGGAATAAATTAATTCAGTTTACTTTAATTCCTGTGAAGAATATTGTTTCAATTCACAAACAGTTTAGTTGATGAACGTCCTTCAGGAATGAATTAAATTCATGAACTGAGGCTTCACTGTATTCCTAATGTCATTTTTCCCACACAAATTACTATTTTAAAGAGAAACAGTATTTAAAAATACTTGGTGAAAACTGGTTAACCAAAATTGTAAATATCATTACTTTATCAGTAGTTTTTACAAGAAAGAGAAGTCACTACCATCACATACATTAGGTTGATTTGTAATAGCAGTATCGCTATTATGTATATTTACAGGAAATTGTGAAAGTGTTTCACTTTAATCCGAGTGCTGTCAAACATTACAATACATTGCATTCATACTTACAGTCTAATAACATTATTGGCTTCCTACAAATTCCTGTATAAATTTATCTTTCAGCTGGACTCAAGCACTCAAATAAAGAGAATGTAAACCTTTTTTTAACTTTCATATGTACACAGGGTATGCATTCCCTGTTCAAGCTTGGATTGCCATTTATATCCAAAGAAATTGAACATAAGTAAGTTTACCGAGAATAAAAAATTACACGAAAATGCAGCAATTATGACATTTTACCTTAAGCTTTAATAACTTGCAGTTTAGAATATGATTTTTGTATAATTATGCATGTGGCAAAGGTACAGTTTTCAATTTATTAGCTAAAATGACTCTCAAATATTTAACTGTAGGAAGAATTTCTGTCTTCCTCAAGAACTGTTTGCAGTAGCTCTTAAGCATATTTTGATTTCATTAAGTGATACTCCATTTTTGCATTCTTCCTGCAGACAATATTTGTTAAGCAGCGATTTCATATTTCTTTTGCAACTATCTATAATGATTTTTTTAAACTTATGAATAATTAGCTGTTTAATCACTCTGTATGTATGTCTCTGATATGCTAGTGAGTTTATGCTCTGCTAAAATGCATGTCCCTACACAGGCTTTTGTGGAAAATGCTGTGTATTAATGTTCTATGCTATAAAATTCTTACAATATGTATACCTTATGAACTTTTTAGAGGAATTTCATCGTGCTGTTGCAATCTGTACTGGCCATAGCTTAGATAGCAACTTAGTGAATGCTGTATTTCAAATCTTTGACGAAGATGGAGATGGACAGTTATCATACAAAGAATTTATTGCTATAATGAGGGACAGGCTGCACAGAGGTTTCAAAGTAAATTTCTCTTCTTGTTTTAGTAAAATAATCATAAAATTATTAACCTGCTATATAACTTTATTTGATGAGATAAATGGTTTTATTCTGTAATTCATAATTACCAAAAGTAAACAGAAACAAAATCTTTAAATGAAAAGTGCAGAATATGCTTTATATAATGTCATTATTTTAAGCATGGATGATAGGTGTAGATTTCCCATAGTACATTTTAATATGTTTTGAAGTCATTTTCGATCTCTAATGGCATCATGTTAAGATGTCTTGTGTGAATAGCCAACTAGATATTTAATTGTCAAAGTTCATATTCCTTAAGAAATAAGAATGCATTGCTAATAATGGCTGAGATCATATATTACTGTAGTTGAATCAGCCCTAATGATGTAGTTTTATTATAACCATCGAAATATATTGAAAAAAGTACCTTTCATTTAGCAGTTAAATTTCATGCAAATATACTGCATACATTTTATGTAAACATACTGCGAACTTTATAAATTTCATGTAAGCATACTGCGTATTGTATAAATGGAAGGTAGTAATATGTGGTATTTTCATTAGGAATTTCGAGACAGTTATTAATATGACCTATTTGTTAATATTTTTGTCTTTTAACATTTTTGTTTGAAACTCACAAATGGTTTAGTTCATGTATTTAGTTGCAGTATAATATATATATTTGATATAAAATCCATTATTGTAGAGTAGAGTAATACTTAAAATTGAAAGAAGTACTTTTTCTAGAAATCAACTTAATCTGCTTCAAGAATGGATGTAAATCAGGTAGAAATAGCAGGTAAAAAGCTATTGTAAGATATTCTTGTAAAAAAAAAAAGGATAGCAAAATATGAGATTTCTTCTTTTGGTATAGCAAATGAAATTAGAATACTTGGTCTTGGAGTATATATATGTCAAATACCAAGTTAAGTGTATAATAGGTACCTGATAGCAGTTTCTTTCATTATTAATTTCAAGAAAAAGCTGATAAAAATGCAGTTTAGTTAAATTTAAATCTCTGAGGATAATAAATACAAGAATTGTGTAAATTAAGCAACAACGTTTTCCTCTGAAATCTAATAGATGATAAAAATATTTAATACCATGAAATGAAACTGTGTTCTGGTGTAACAGTGATGATTTACAAAAGTGAATATAGATACATAACTCGCACTATTGGTCACCTGAAAATCCATTATTGTAATAAAAGGTTCATCATCAGGTATAGTGGTCCTCAATGTCTGGTGTGAGATTTGGAAGATTAGCCTCTTAGGCTTTATTCAGACGATGGTTTTATCAATGTCAGGGCAGGGAGAGTTGTGTATGCTGAAATGTGCAGTTGACTTGGTGGAACCATCAACTAGTGTTTTCTTCATTGTGATTGGTCAGCTGTTATACTAAGTTGGCATAAAGTTGAACAGTTAAAAATTGTATGCAAAATCTGTAAACCAATTTTACTAACCATAGCAGTCTGGTTATGTAGCAATGAAGCTCAGCTTAGACCCCTTGTGATTTTAAAACCATGGTGTGAACAAATTTTTAGAGCGTGTATTCTGTGGTGGAACCTTGATTGGACAAAGATACTTAGAACTAATGCAAACCACAATACCTTATTTCTTAGATGACTTGTTAATTCATCTATATTCTGTGTGGTTTCAGCATGATGCTGTTAAACCACATTATCTGGCCTAAGTGCAGAGCTTGATGTTGGGCAATTTCAAGGATAAGATCATCAGGTATAGAGATAATATGGAGTGGCTACTGAGTGTACCTAATGTAAGCCCACTGGATTTCTTATGGGATTTTTATTATAGCTGTAACTGTGGAAAGACCATGGGTACAGCTGGTCATCTAGTGACATTAACAACTTAGAAACATGCATTATCCATACATACAGTAAAATAACACAAACATTCAGCCTGAATTCATATGTGCATTGCTGTCAGTGGTGGAGATAAAAGGGGCATGCTTAATTACTAATGCTGGCTTTTTTGTAATTCTAAAATGTTTCTACTTTCTTTCTTCATAATCTGAATGTTTATATCATATTTTGTATGTTTTTATTCTCACTGTAATATATTGTACTCTGCAAACACATGTATGTTTGTTAGTAAATTTGTACCTGCCTTGTAATCTCACACAGGCAATTAGTGACATATTTATGCAGGTGATTGGCTACGAAGTGATCTGCATTTCAGGAATTTTATTCAAACTATTGCAGTGAACATCATTTCATACTCAACTTGCTATTCTACTAGCTTTTCATACTCAACTAGCTTTACTAACTTGCTATTCACTTTTTATGCTGTCATAGTTTTTGTTGTAAGACCACTGACATCATCAGTTTCACATTATGCAGCATAGTAATTTCACTGTAGGTAACAACTTCCATAACTTTAGCTGTCTGCATTCAAGTTATTTCACTGTAAACCCTGTCTATACCAGATCAGAATATGGCAACTAAAAATATGCAATTGTAGGGTAAAACTTACTATCTTCAAAAGCTTACTTACACTCTTAGACAACAACAACAAAAAAAAAAGATGCACCATAATGCAACGAAAAGATATAAAGTAAATTGGACACAGAATGATATGCATAAAGGTTTCGACGGAAAATGCAAAATTTTACATTTTGCCTGCCAATGAATGAACGGTTGTCGCTACAGCGCATCTGATTTGTGCAGCAGGATATTTAAGAGGAGAAATTATGATTCCAGGTCATAAATTCTTCGTGAATTTCATTCTGTGTACTCTGGTAGACAGTAACTATGCTTGGCATACAGGTGCACGAACGATATGAACAGATGTCAGAATTTGAGAGAGGTCGTGTAGTTGGGCTAAAGAAGCTGGTTGATCTTATCGGCAAATAGCTTGACATTTGAGCAGGATCGATGCCACTATTAGACAATGTTGGCAGGAATGAGTGAACCATGACCGCACATAGCGTCAGGAAGGAAGCGGTAAGCCTAGAGAAAAGACAGAACGTGAATACCGAGCAATCGTCAGAGCAGCACTCGCAGCCCCAGATGCATCATCGAATGTACGTGCAACTAGTGCTTCAGTGACCACAAGGACCATTTATAGACGGCTCACAGAAAGGGGGCTGAGGTCAAGGCACCTCTTGCACCGACTACCATTGACCTCTGTACAACATCAAGCCCGTTTGCAGTGGTATCGAGCCCATTCGCACTGGAATGTCACTGGCTGGAGTAGAATAGTCTTTAGTGATGAGTCCCGCTTTGAACTGAGCCCCAATGACCAGCAAAGACGAGTCTGGAGATGCCCAGAACAGCAGTGTGATGCCAACCTGACTGTCTTCCAGCAGACAGACCGACAGCCAGGAGTGATGGTCTGGGGTGCCATTTCATTCCGTAGTTGGTTCCACTTTGGTTGTCGTCCATTGCAACCTTACAGGACAGCTGTACGTCAACGAAGTTCTAAGGCCTGTTGTGTTGCCCTTCATGTCATGCCACCTTGCGCTTACATTTCAGCAAGATAATGCCCGACCCCACACTGCACACGTTTCTACTGCTTGCCTTAGTGCTTGCTGAACATTACCTTGGCCAGAAATGTCACTGGATCTCTCTCCTATTGAGCATGTTTGGAGCATTATGGGCACGGCCCTCCAACCAGCTCGGGATGTTGACGATCTAAAGCGCCAGTTGGACAGAATTTGGCATGATATCCCTCAGGAGGACATCCACAACCTCTATCAATCAATGCCAAGCCGAATAACTACTTGCATAAGGGCCAGAGGTGGACAAACGCATTACTGACTTTTTCACTTTGTGAAGCTCTATCACTTCAATAAATCATCCATTTTTTTCTCAAACTGTAATCATTTGTTTTTCTGTACATGTACATCATTTCTACCAATTTTCGTCCCATTCGGATAACTCCTTCTTGGTGCGTCGTTTTTTTTTTTTTTTTTTTTTTGTCTAAGAGTGTATTAATAACAAATTTAACCAAAATAAATCCTAAGTGCCAAGTGTAACGATTGAATTTGAACTCAGAATGAAAGGAAATGTGACTTGAAAGATCAGACTGCTGCTGTAGATTGATAAAATATAATACATGCTTACTTATTTTAAAACCTGTTTTCACTCTGGAGATGGGATTTCAACAGCACCTATTTGAAGCCTCTAAATAAATGCAATTTTTTCCAGAAATAATATTCTAAAATTGAAATCTGGGTTTAAGCATAGTCATTTCACATCCGTGAAAGTGCTGTTGACTACACATATTTATCATCTTGCTTATTGAATGCCCTTTTTAGCAATTTTTCAAACATTATCATGGGACAGTTTTCTGTGTTAATGTGTCATAACCAAAGATTAGAGAGAGATACAATAACACATTTGAAAAATTCAGAAATTATCAGGTTTGCTATAATTTCTTCACTTTATGTTTCATCTTTACCCCTACTAAATAATGTTCCTGTTAGATTTTTGGAGTATAAAATTCCTAGCATGTTGCTTAAATAAAACAGGCATCTGGTATTTGCCATTGCAGAAGTTCTCTTCTCTGATAGAATATGTAATACCTGTTAAGAGAAGAGAAGTAATTTGTTGATTCATTTGTAAATTTCATTTTTCCAGAATAAATTGTATGTGTTAAATATTCTTTATTTGATTATGGTTCAACTTTATTATTTCCAGTCTCATCTCGTCAAAACAGAAGGATGGGACGCTTTCAAGTCTTGCATCAAAACAGAAATGAGAAACTAAGTGAAAGATTTGGATTACACTTAGTACAAAATAATTTTCTACTAATTTAAGGTTCATTGTACAAGTAAGCTTCCAAGTGCAAGCACACTTTACATATACGTATTGAAAGATTAAAATGTAAAAAATATGTTATACATTGAGTATTTCTATGTATGTAGTTACTGTGATAAGAATGCATTTTGCTGCTTTAGAAGAGTAATTTGAGTTTTATAATGTATACTCATGTATTCATTACACATACCCTAGAAGATACAGTGATCAGTCAAATGTGAACAATCTGTACAACCAAATCAGTTTGGCAACCATTTAATTCATATCATTTTAACTAACTTTCGGGCAATGCTAGCTGCTTTCTACATTAATTAATGAAGAAAATCTCATCCCTTTGTTATATTTTGAAGTATATGCATGTTATTAGTTACTTTTATAAGTGAACAGAAAAATCTAAGTTAGACCTGTTGCATTTCTTAAATTCTCATGGTGTATGATAGCAGTGACTCATTACATAATTACAGGAAAACTGCATCTGAGATAGTAAAACGATTACTCTTTCTTGAGAAAAAATATAAATTTATTAATAAATATGCTTTAACATTTTTAACAAGAAAAGTTTTTTATATGCTTTTTGGTTCCAACTGTGAGAGGAAAATTTACTTTCCTCATTACTGTTAACTCTTTTTAAAATTCAGTTACTGGAAAATAGTCCTTATAAAGTACGTCATTGTTCATTTTGAGAACATGAAGCTACACTGATGTAGTGAATGCTGGAAAGTATTATTGTAGACTTTGGAAGTAAGTTCCAAATTTTATTTATAATTCTCCTAATAATTATTGTTTAATTTTACTTTTAAGAAAGCTCAAATATCTGAATAGAAAAGCTCTACAATTTTTACTTTATAATTAAAATATCAAAGCTAATCGTTATCACTGGTAGGTGTCACTGTACATAATAAATGTATTTAAATAGTTTTCTTTTCATAACTTTCTGGGAGCGGGAGCAGACAGTTGTTATTGCAAGTAGTAATTTTTTTCTAATAATTTTTGGAGCAATAAATATTTTACTATGCCATTTCTTATTTTATATGTATATATTTTTTGGATGATGTTGATGGTGACTCCCGGTGCTCTTAATATACAACCGAATACCTGAAAACATGTGAATGGAATGTAATATTTTGATTGTTACACATGCAGCAAAGATATATTCCAATATACTCCATTATTTGTAATTGGAGGTTTTTAAATTATGAGTAATATATTGTTTTGCTATATTTTAGAAGTGTGAAATACTCTGCCAAAGAAACTGAGTCTAAAAATTATATTTTAATTTGTTGATTGTATGTACTGTTGCTGTTTATTTTATATGCATCATAACAAACCTGAAGTGCCCGTATTTTTGTGCCTTTAGAATGTAGTGCGAAAAGCGCTTGTTTCAAAGTTAATATAATGGAACTGAATAAAAAATAATATTCAAAGGCGTGCCTTTATCAAGTGTTAAGTCACCTACATTTTCAGTGGTAGCAGAGAATAGAAGATCAAAGTAAAAATATGTAAAGGATGATAGCAGCAATGAAAGATAATTCGTATTATTGTGGTATAAAGCAGCTTGGTTTTGTAAGAAATTTGTTAATCTTCTGAGTGCTAATTATGACCGAGTACTTGCATGAAATAAAAAGAACTTAACTATGCAGCTTTTTTTAAAAACATCTTTTCAGTCATATGAAAATGTTTCAAGAAAATAGGCAGCATAAACAAAAAAATTTCATAAATTATTTTAAAATTAATGTATTACTATTTTTTCTATTTTACTTTCAATGATGCGTGTTTTTTGCACGCAGTAATTAAAATTAATTCATTTATACATCTTATAACTTTAGATAATTCTAATTGTTTTAATTTAGGTTCAAATAATTCTGCTTTTCAAACAGTTTAAAATTTATGTGAATGGTATCTAACACAGTAAAATGGAAAACTGCATGTTAGGCATATACTTGAAAACTGCGTGACTTATGATTTAACTTTTTTCACTGTATGTAAGAATAAGTAAAAAATACACTGAGTTTGGTCAAACAACAGACAAATGTGTAAGTACACTGCGCACAAAAAAAAAAGGGGGGGACAGTTTTATATCTGCCATTCTACTGGGCCGATTGACGAAATTCAACTTTCATTTTTCCTGTCTCAAAAGCGCGACTTATTATATGTATTACATTTATGTATAGCATCGTTCTAATATAGGCATTTTGACATAAAATCATACTTTTTCTGAAATAACATACCTTTTTTTTTTTTTTTTTTTTTTTTCCCATATTTCAATTCTATGGCTCAAATTACGCAAAACTACCAAGTTTTGTAAAAATTGCACGAGTAGTTTTTAAAAGATTAGCTCTCAAACTTTTAGCTCCTCAATGTTAATTTAGTATATATTTATTAATCTCTCTTTTTATTAAACTTATTTAATTTTTCCTTTCACATTTTGAAATACAGGTTCATCCAAATAAAATTCACCCATTTTTTATGATTTATTTTTAAAACATGTATTTTTAAATAATTTTTATAAATTTTTGAAAAAAAAATTGGATTATAATCTATAAAATTTTTACCATCATCTTAAAGTAGACATATTTCTAAGCATACCTGCAAAAAATTAGTTTTTATTCAAAATTTTCAAAGATATATGTGAATTTATAAATTGGTGCATTTTAAAATTTGGTATATTTGTTGAAAGTGATAAAACATCAAATGCGGTTTAGACACTTCGTTAAAATTATTTGAAAGTAGGAACGATGTTTCCGCTCATGCAAAATGTAAAAAGGTAGGAACAAGGTGACTTTTTTCTGCTCCGGCATAATGGAAGGGAAAGGAAAATTGGTTGCAATATGTTAAGAAGTTCGCCAAGTGAATTATTCTTGGTGCAAATGAAAAAATTGCGCCAAGATAAATTTTTGAATTTCTCCGTAAATTTCGCACCAAATTTTAGAAATTTAATATTAAGGCATAATTTGAATCATAGAATAGAAATATGTAAAAGAGATGGTATGTTATATCAGAAAAATGTCGAATTTTCATTTGGTCATCCCAATGCCTCTGCCATTTATTAAAAATTTTATGTTTGATCATCGTACTGATATCTCTGAGTGGAATCTGGCAATTATATATTGTAGTAGCAATTTTAGCTGTAATGTCCGCTAGTTCATTCCCTTTTATGCCAACGTGGCCAAGGATCCAGGAATAAAAAGAATCTGATATCCCCGATATTTTAGAGTCTGATTAAGCTTAAGAATTCTGGTAATACTGGGATGTGAATTATACTTAGGCTCTTTGTGTGATGTTAGGACACTCAAGGAATTTGTATAGATAACGAAATTCATGTAATGTTGTTTTTGCAGAAACGTTAGAGAAATGTTATAAACTGCTGTAAGTTCAGAGGTAAAAACAGAGCAAGCCAGGTATAATCGAAACCTCAGAATAGTTTTTTCTACTACAAAGGTTGCACCAACAGGATCTCTGCATTTTCATCCATCTGTATAGAGAGGAATATAATTTCTGTATTTATGTATATGTTTCACAAAGATCTGCCTGCAAATGACATCACTTGTGCTAGATTTATCCCAGTGCTGTATATCTAGACACTGAAATTTCCAATTCTCCCATAGTGGCATCTCAAAAGGATTCTCCAGCTGTGTATTAGTCATATTATACTGTTCTAGTAAAGTTCTAACTCTTAAACCAAACGATGGGATACATGATGGGTCTGCCTGATATAAACGAGAGCATGAATTATTGAGTGAATGTAAGCGAATGGGATTCTGTATCTGTGACATGAGTTTAAAATAGTGCTTAAAACGAAGAAGCTCGCATCTTATACTCAGAGAAGTCTCGTTGCTTTCCACATACAGATTTTCCACTGGAGAAGTTCTAAAGGCACCATTGCAGATTCAAATTGCTTGGTGGTGTACCGGATCAAGTTTAGCAAGCACAGAAGGCCTTTCTGGCCTGTAAATGACTCATTCATAGTCAAGTTTTAAACGGATGGGGGATTTATAGATAAGCAGCATTGACCTTCTATCGGCTCCCCTTGAGGTATTTGACAAGACTTTCAAAATATTCATAGTTTTAAAGTATTTCCTTCTCAGGGAGGTGATATGGGAAAGGAAAGTTTCCTTGGAATTTTGTCTTCTTTTGTACCGGAATCAGTACATCTTGTAAATAAAGTTTGGGATCAGGATGAGGAATCTTTCTACAACAAAAAATGCACACACATAGTTTTCCAAGAAGAAAATCTAAAACCATTTGTCTTGTAACCATTTAACTATTCTGTTCAGAGAAGTTTGTAATTCTCTTTTGACATATTTCATATCTGCCCCCTGACTTGCAGGTCATCAATGTAAATCGTACCATGAACTACAGGAGGGAGCTGTTTTAAGATCGAGTTGATTTTTATGCTAAATAGAGTTTCACTTAGTACACTGCCTTGCGGAACTCCCTCTGGACGAAATTCCTCAGAAAGTGTAGAGCCAGTCTTCACATGAAACTTTCGATCCTGTAAGAAACGTTTAATTAAAATAGGCAGGTTTCCTGGTAAGCCATTATTGTACAAGTCACGAAGGATGCCGTACCTCCATGTGGTGTCATGAGTTTTTCCATGTAAAAAAATATAGACACGAAGTGATTCCTTTTAACGAACGCTTTACGGATACCGGTTTCTAAAAGTAGAATATTATCAATGGTTGCCCGTCCTTTTTCTAAATCCACTTTGAAAAGGGAATATACAGTTATTTGTCTCTAAGTAGTGGACCAGATGAGTGTTGATATTCTTTTCAAGCAATTTGCCAAGGCAGCTAGTTAAAGCAATGGGGCGGTAACTTGATGGATTCCTAGGATCTTTTCCTGGTTTGACGATTGGGATAATAAAGGCTGTCCTCCATGCATTGCTGAATACTTGCTATTTCCACATTCTGTTGAAAAGGAAGAGGATGAACCAACGACTTACATGGGAGCTGTTTTAACATTGTATCGGTGATGCCATCTGGACCAGGGCATGGTCTTCTTGTCTTCGCCAGAGCTCTTTTCATCTCTAGCGTAGTTACATCTTGATTATAAGTTTCAGAAGTAGGAGAATTAAAATCAATTGAATGTTATTCAATAAGCATCTTTGCAGAAAAGAAGGAAGGATAATAGCTACTACTATTTGAAACAGCTGAAAACGCCTGTCCGATAGTGTTGCCGATTTTTTCCTTACTGGTAATTGTGGCACCATTTAACTTTAAGACAGAACTCTTTAAGAACTCTTTCTCACACCTTCGTACTTGAAGTAGAGGAGTTTATCAAAGACACATACAAGACCCACAAATTCCTCTGACTATTCCTACGTACTTGACGTGCTTTTGCTTTAGCTCTTTTGAAATATTATAAGGTTTGATTCAGTAGGATACCGCCGAAAAATGCTCCAGGCTTTCCTTTGTTTTCTAATAGCGTCCTTGCACTCAGAATTACATCAAAGCTTTGGATATTTAGGGAAATTTACAGAGGTTTTGGGATAGAGATATCAGCTGCTTGTATGATTTTTTCTGTAAGTCTTCACAAAGTGATCAATATCCACATCTTTCACCATTTCTTTAGTGAAACAGGCATGATGTGAAAAAGAGAGCTTTATCTAACACAAACAGCGGTGTTCGAGAGTTAGAAAGATTTTTATATCCTATGCAGTTTATGATAACAGGGAAATGATCGCTGTTGAATGGATAATTTCCAATATTAAAGGAGAAGAATGGTAGGAGTTGCGAGGAAACAATAGCAAGGTCAAGTGGAAGGTCCTTGTTGGTTGATGAAAGTAAGTACTTTCTGTACTGTTGAAACAGGAAACAGAGACAGTGGCCATTGGAGTAGCTGTTCAGTTTGATTTCCTTGTGCATTTGTGTCCATTGAAATCACCGACCAAAACAAACGGTTTTAGCAGCTGGGCAATTAAGTCCTCTAAATTTCCCTGATCAATGCTCTCATTTGGAGGAAGATAGATACTACAAATGGTAATCAATGTCGGTATGCTCACTTGTAAAGCAACTGCTTTGAGAAATGTATCTAAGGGGAGAGCATTTGATGGACAGTTAATTGAGGTAAGCAGACCGACATTACCACTTTCGCGTTCATAGACGTATTATCTTTTCTTATCATTGAGTACTTTCGAAGGGTTGTCAAGGTTGAGAAAAGTTTCTTGTAACTCTAGACAAACAGGTTGATGTGTATTAATGAGCTGTTTAATATAGTCAAGGCCCTGGTGGAAGTCACGACAGTTCCACGATATGAGAGTAGCCATTAGGAATATTTGTTACTTCGATGGTGTTTGTTTTATGAGGCAGCACATGTTTTGGAAGATATGTGCCTCCCTCTATTTCCATTTCGGATTCTATGAAGTCAGAAAAAATTCCTTCCACAGAGCTTCAGCTTCGGCTTCTATTTTTATTTTTTGAGCTGT